GTCTCAAACTATTTGAAAGTCTTGCACAATATCTTTTACTAACAGTATAGTTTGACGTGTTAATATATCTAATAAAAACCCTAACATGTAAATAAAATCTTCTTGTGTATATTTCAAACGAAAGCAAAATAGCAAAACATCTAGAGTTTTCGGTATGATTGTCAAGTTAAATTTAGAAAATTTTGGATATATGAAATATATTGTCGTCCACTTATATAATAAAGTATGAAACATCGATGCATGAAGTCTAGACTTCCAATGTCTATAAATAAAAATATAATGCTTGTGGTAGGGTCTTTTCATTATCATGTCTCTCACTTCTTCCTTTTGCATCTCTCATTTTAAAACAGCCAAATATTATTTTACCCTAAACCATAATAATCATTGTATTTCTATTTCTTTACAAAATAAAAGAATTGTAGGAAATTTTTTGAGCCTCAAGATTGTAATAATGTCACATAGTTTGACTTCACAAAAATAAATTAAACTCGCAAATCATTACCATTAATTAATTAACCTTTGTATTCAATTGATTCAGACACACGGACCGACCAATTCGAGAACAATGAATGGAAAAGAATGATTCATCCTCATGGAAAGCTTTTCTGTTTTACAACAAACCCGGTTAGGTTGGTTATCTTGTTCCCGGTTTATCAAAACCAGATGAAGCTAATCTAATAAAGCTTAGGGGAGTGAAATAAGGAAGAAACTTAAGAAGACTAGAGTAGGGAAGCCCAATGGGCCTATCTAAATAGGATATAATTTGTTTTGTTGATCGATGGGCCGAAATGTGTTGACCCGTAACGAATACTTCGGACTGAGCTAGAGTATCCAATATATATTTAATTATTAAAAACATATATTCGACGTATTTTTAACGCTCACTGGGTTATATATATGTACAGATTTTTCTGTGTCTCACAAAAAAAAAAGAAAAAGAAATCATCGTGAAACGTTCGAAGGCGATTCCTTGGACGACCATCGACCTCAGAGAGAGAGAGCTTAGATCTCGTGCTGCGTAGTTTCTTCGGTACGTCGATCTCGTTGATTCCTTTGAATTTTACTGATTCTCCTGTTCGAATTTCTCTCTCACGATCCGGATCCGTGCGTTGTTGTTCATATCATAGCTCGTCATTTTCCAGATCTGTTGTGTTTCTTCCGATTTCGTCGATGGATAATCGTGTTTTTGTTGTGATTCTCTTGTTTGTAATGCTGGATCTGTATCTGCGTAGTCGATTTTGAATCTAGATCAGGTCGAAAAGTCGATGATTCTTCGTTATTAGATCGAGAGCTGATGATACGAATGAGATCCGATACAATTTGTAATCTCCTTCGCTAGATAGATGATGATTCTTCGTGATTAGATCTTGATTCCTCAATTGCGTTTTTTGTGATTATTATGCTGGATTCAGGAGTTTATGAATCTGTTTTTTTTTGTGTGTGAATAGCGTTGGAAAAATGGGGTTGTCCTTTGGAAAGTTGTTCAGCAGGCTTTTTGCGAAGAAAGAGATGCGTATTCTTATGGTTGGTCTCGATGCTGCTGGTAAGACGACGATCCTGTACAAGCTCAAGCTTGGAGAGATCGTGACCACTATTCCAACCATCGGTGAGTAACTTGATCATATTGCCATTATTATTGTGTTTGTACAATGAAAGTGATTTGTTGATGACTGTGATTTACTTGTCTTGTATTAGAAGCTTACAGTTCTTGTTTTGTTTATAGGGTTCAATGTCGAGACTGTGGAATACAAGAACATTAGCTTTACCGTGTGGGATGTCGGGGGTCAGGACAAGGTATTGTCTCATTTCATAACGCAGATCATGCGAGTAGTGTTGCTACTCTATCATCAATGTATTGTGCAGGAATGATTTGCTTATTAGGTTCAGTGTTGGTATGTTACGTTCATATGCCCGCACTCTACAATTGATAAGCTATATCAAATCAGCCGGAATTTCGAGCATACTTTTGATTCTCAAATAGATGTTGTTTTCTGGCTGACATTCCCATATAAACGCTTCTTTTTCCTTTATGGTTTCATTTGAGTTCTGCTTGTAGAGTTTTGATCGAACGCTTTACTAATGGCTTCCTTGTTTCTAATCCAGATTCGTCCATTGTGGAGACACTACTTCCAGAACACCCAGGGACTTATCTTCGTGGTTGACAGCAACGATCGTGATCGTGTTGTTGAAGCCAGGGACGAGCTTCACAGAATGCTGAATGAGGTATTTTCACTCAAGTCTCCCCTCTGTGCTTTTTGTATATATTTTAAGAATCAATTCCTTAAAAGGATAACTCCGATCATCATATCGTTTTGACTTTGCGATGTTGCAGGATGAGTTGAGGGATGCAGTTCTTCTTGTTTTTGCTAACAAGCAAGATCTTCCCAACGCGATGAACGCTGCTGAGATAACTGACAAGCTTGGGCTTCACTCCCTCCGCCAACGACACTGGTGAGCGAACAAGACAGAAACTAGCTCTCTCAATACCCCATCTCAAACCCGGACACATGAGCTTATAACCACCGCCTCTTGTAAATTTTTGTAATTGCAGGTACATTCAGAGCACATGTGCCACTTCTGGAGAAGGACTCTACGAGGGACTTGACTGGCTCTCCAACAACATCGCAAACAAGGTATCAACTACATGAGCTCTACTCTTTCTTTTGACTCCAATTCTCATAATCGATTTGTGCCGAATCCGAGTCTGAGACACTTAACCTTATGATATGCAGGCATAGAAGGAAGGGGTCTGTTTCGCTAGTACTAAGAAACGAAACCAAGATTTATTATCATAT